TAATTTTTCAACTGAACTGCTGTCGTGTTATGAAAATAATGGATGCACTTTCATGCTTTTCTAGGGTTAATTAGGTATAGGTATGCTAATATTTTGCCAGATAGGCAACAGAGAGCCGATGGCTAATTAAATGAACGATAATTTTGGCACAGTGAAGTAGTGCGTACAGATGACATATTTTTATTTATCAATTACGGGCAGTTGACGGGAGACGGGCGATGGCTGCGGCCTGTAGCGGCGCCCATATGCGTTGTGAAATATCAGCTTATATATATCATAAGGTATATATACGCTAATCTAACTTTTATTTCCGTCAGATGTCATGTCGATTCTTAATAATAAACGACAAACAAACAAACGTGTTTGCAGCATGAGGTAGGCATTGAGCATCACAATGTTTCGTTACATTTAGCTAAGGCTCGCGGCTGGCGACAACGTCCCGCCGTGTGTCGCTTGCGCTACAAATTTTGCGGGCCCAACATTAGCTTTACCAGAAAAAATCGTTATAATAACCGTCATATTTGTGTAAATTTACCGCCATGAATTTGTGTACGATTACCACGCGAGTGTTCCTTTTGGTACTTTTTACCAAAAACACATATTTGTGCGTAAATGTAACGCGAGATCCGCGGTAAAGGTACACTGAAAGCGGTTCTCCTACACAATAGTGAAGCACTCCGAAGCTAGCAAAACACACATATAAGTGTTCTTTTACGCAGAAAACAGAGTAATTTTACACCAAAAAAATGTTCCTTTTGGTACTTTCAATTACACCGTTTTTCCGCTCAATATTTCTGTGTGTGTGTGTATACTTTGTTCAGTGATAGACCAATCCAAGGAGTGGAGCATGACGCATCTATATGTGCAGCGATTTACGACCGACTGATAACAAAGCCTTTGAGTTACTATCGGTTTTGTCGAAAAAAGTACCTACCACGCAGTGTGCAGAGGGCTTTACAATACATACCAAAGCACATCAACAGAGAGGTCACGAAATTAGCCTAGTCTTTGGTCAACAAGTAAATCCGAAAGATAGCGTTCATTCATTCTGTCACCGTGATCAAGCACTGACAGTTTCAAATTAATCGTTCGGTCATTTTAGCTATGACGGGGATGTACTTTTCGCTTGTAACGCTGGTGACCCAACCTTAGATAAATGACGTATGTGATGATTTCATATAGGTACCTGGTACATATCATATACATTGATGTGACAAAAACGCTTTTTATCCAAATGAGTGCGGAGTGCTGCTTGGAGACGTTGGAGCGTTACGTTTTTGTTCATAGGGGACCTAACTACCTACAACTAACGACACCTCCTAGAAGATCCTGCCGTATAGTAAAGTAAGGTGCCTAATTAGCGACCCTTTCCTTTTTGCGACCTACCTTCCTAGTTCCTACAGAAAAACTGGCAGGAGAAAACGGGGTAAGAATATTGTCAAAAGGTCAGCCATACTTTGGTTATCAAATTAAATTATTTTCCGGTTGTCGGTGTTTCTGGTGGGACGTTTCAGGTGAGTTGAAATAAAAAGTACAAGTTTCTTATCCAAAACGTATATATCTGGGCCCTCTCTGATGAAAATCAATGCACATTAGGATGATACACCTTTTTTATTCTCAATCGACAATCCTTTTTCAATTGATTGCCGTTTTCCCATAGTGAATCGCTTAACTGTGCACTGCATGGCGGTTAGAAATGTGTTGCAACTCATATTTCCTATTTGCGCCTGACATGGTCGCAAATAGCTCAAGAAGGCAAAGAAAGGGGAAAAGAGAGAAATGAAAATGGGTGTTGCTGAAGCTTGCAATGTGTGGCAGGGTATGCCAAATGTCGTCAACGACTGCATGCTGAATCCAGCGGGGACCTCGAATATCATACGACATAGCCCGCAAAATTTGGGTTTTCGCCTTCTTTTCGCCTTCGGCGCATCACGTGATCAGTTTTTACTTACGTAAACGCGTTGGATAAACGTTCCTGTCCGAGTGATTGAGTGCTTTGCGTATAAGTTACCTTTTTGGGATCATATTTCATCTTTTCAGGCGTCGCATTTTTTGCCATATTTAATATGGAAAAACCAATAGACTTATTAGCGACCCTCCCTGGTCGGTAATCGGGAAGAGTTCACTATTAGCGTTTTTTTTTTGCATGGGTTTGCCAAAATGCTGACTACAAATAAATTAGTGGATGTTGGGGCAGAAAATCAGACATGTGCATGGATCCGAGCAATGGATCTATGATCTCAGTGGATCTCGAAGCAAACTGCAGGTTAGGATCTATGATCCCATCGGATCCGGCGTGAAAATATATCTTGGATCTATGATCTCATACGATCTGACGATAAATCAAGAACATGGATCTATGATCTGAGTGGATCCCACCATGCACAACATTTAAAACCATGTTTTAAAGGGTTTATGTGTCAATGAGTGCCACAAAACTATGGATTATGACGTGTGAGCACATAAAATCACTAAAACGGAACGTTTATGAGTTGCAACAAGTGTTTTTGGGGGATTTCTGTGTTGACAAAAAATAAGTGAGGATCTATGATCTCACTGGATCGCAAGCAAAACATGAGACTTGAATCTGTGATTCCTACGGATCTCTCGATAAATTTGAGAGCTGGATCTATGATCCTGTCTGATCCGACATCAGGACCCGTGGGATCAGATCCCAGATCCATTTTCTCGGAGCCATGCACATGTCTGTTCTAGACTATATTTTAATAGAAAAATGAACAATCTCTCCGAAAATCAAGCCAGCAATGCAGTGGCACCCATAGAGCGTGAGCAATGACGGTTCACTTCAAATTAACCCGGCAGTTGCTGGGGTATTTCGCCACCCACCGTTTGCTGGGGGAGGGGGGGGGGGGCGCTAAACGCCCCCAGCCGATAACTCGAGAACCAATAGGCGCAGCGAAACGCACGAGGCGGCAAACGAAAGAACGCGACGAGACGCTTCAGATGAGTGCTTTAAAGTTGAATTTTGAGGTCACAGGTCGGGTCAAGGTCAGGTCAAACACCTGAAATCGGGCTTTCAGTAACATGGACTTCAGGACTTCGCAATGGGCGCCTCTCGTCATAAACTCTGTCAAAACGGTGCACAATCCATCATATAAGGCCTACAAGAGTGTGCTCCATGTAGGGGTCAGTCAAGCAAAGGTCAGGGTCAAGGGCAGGTCAACCGGGTAGGCACATATCCCCGAAAATCGAAACTGATATTCGCAGCCTGTGACACATGTTTTAGGGGTAATTTGGGGCGTAGAACACGATGATGATATTCATTTTATCATATGTGTACGTGTTTCGCTCAAAAAGTTCAATTTAAGAACTGCATGTATCATGGTCGTGAAGTAGTCACGAGAAATTGCCAAGATTCAGTTCAAGATTTTGGAAAATGCGGAACGATAATCAATAATCGAAGATAACCATTAGATTGTTTACGGTATTGGCAGCCTAATGGCGTTTACGGCATGTCTGTATGTCTATTTTGTGAATTTATATGATTTTTTGAACATATGCTGTTTTTGGTTGAAAACTCAGAAATCATGACGTCACTAAAACCTCGATATCTCAAAAATTTTCCGACCGATTGTTTTGAAACGTTGTCACAATAGACTTCAATTAATTCTCTACAGGTACCCAGAATTTGGCGCGCCTGCGGCGCGCCGTTTTTATGCTATGGCCCGGCGAAAAAAAGTAGGGGCGTTTAACGCCCCCCCAGCAACTCGCGGGTTAAGGGGGTCGCTAATTAGGCACCTTACCCTACGTGGGGAGGAAGGACAACCATGTTTTGGATTGGAAAGGTCAGACTCTTCTCTGCTCCTAGGGAGGTAAAAAGATCTTCCCTATCAAGCATATGCTTAACCACTCGTTCGCTCCCAATTTCACCTAAGCATGTGATAAACAACAATGTATCATGCTACGAATTACACTTCCGAGAGCATATCAAATAAAAGGTACCTACAGATAATGTTTAGGCCTATTGTCATAAATCTAACCCATTTGATGTTTTCCGGCCATTTTGTTTTCACCGTGACTATGACACAACATACAACAAATTCCAACACTGAGGACACCTCAGATAATGACTTTCGGCGGCCTAATTGATAGCGACGATAAAAACAACGGTTCCGACGGCTAGTATTGAACCAGTAGCAGACTTCACGCTCGAAGCTCTGGCCTCTGCACGTACATATTTGCTCTCGCATGCCTTCCAAATACCGAAATATCCATAGCCATGGCTATCATCTTTTCGAATTCAAAATGTTACGCAGTCTGCAGCCGCTCTCGCCTCTCCATAGTGAGAGACGTGCCAATGTCGGCTCTTTGATGACTTTTGACCGCAACAAAATTGGTAAGAACTGGTTTGATTCTTAGAGCTTGAAATGGCTCTGAAAGAAGATTTAGCTCGCTGCATCTTCTTCGTGAACGTACCTAATGCTCGAACCGTAAATAACTTCATGCGGTGCCAAATTTTTCTGCAACAAACTTAAGTAACCGTTCCACATACACCGCATATTTACTTTTCGAGTCTAAAAGCTGTTGCTGTTTACGACACATTTCGGCTTGCGTCATATCTCGTAGTGTGACACTATTTAGGTACATAACAATTCCCATCTAATCACGACAGCATTAGCAGGTAGCCTCCTCCATACCACATGTCACCGCAAATGGTAGGTATGCGTTCGAGCTGAATACGAATGTGATTTGTGGGCGTTCTGGGCGCATAAACACGCCAAGTGGGCATGTAAATATGACACACGCGTCAACAGACGTCAGGTGCTCGGGAATAGCCTCCTCGCTGGTAGGTATAGCGGTAAATCTCGACGGCTCGGCCCCATGTAGGAGGACGAGCAATGAGCACGGCAGACAGGTGCTCTCCGGTACATCGTTTGACCCGCGGGTGGGGCGTGGCGGTCGTGCCGGTGGAAAGGGGGGGGGGGGGCGGGGACGGGCGGGGAGGACCGGAGCAGTCGGGCGGGGCCGGTCGCGCCGCCGCCGGCCGAGGGGCGGGTCGGGCGGCTCATCTGCCGAGCCGGGTCACATGCCGAGCGGAGCCGGCACCTCCGGGACGACACTGGCCACTCGGCACACGACCTTGCCCTCCAGCCTCCGCCAATTAGCCCAACACGCTGTGTGAAGTGTGTGACGTCACGTGGCCGGGCCGGCGCGGTGGGCGCCCGTATAAAGGTGCCGCCGGCCGGCCGGAAGTCACAGTGCCCCCTGTCGGTGTCACAGCGACCACCTGCCTGGACCTGCAGCCTCAGGTAGGAGTCGGCCCGGCCCGGCGAGTCGGCACATCGTAACTCACACATCACCCTGTACGTATCGTCCACCCCGCTACTGTTGGTACTTGCATACCTTCACCCCCCTCCCCTGAAAGATAGAAACTCTTAATTGCACGATGCATGCAAATAAGTGAAATAATCTCGGAGAGAATATGGAAATGATTTATTCGCTTATGCCCAGATTAAATATAAGGAAAGTCGAAATTTTGAGCACCTTACATGGATAATTCAAAAAGGTTTTCTCACTTATCGTTTTTTTTTTGGGGGGGGGGGGGGTCAGGTCATGTCAATGAATACAGTGTCCGTGTTTAATCATAATTTTGCAACTTAACTCGATTGATAGCCATGCAGGCTATCATAATTTAATAGTGCAACGCCTTTAGGCCTTTGATCAAGGACAAGACCTAACCATGAAAGATGGTAACTTTAGACTTTTCATCGGTTTTCGGACTTGTTTGACTGTCGAAAACGAGACATGCACGTCTTTATACTAAATCCATGAAAAATATTATCCTACATTTGAAACTTCTTAAATCATGCAGCTGTTTTTTATTGGGCATATATTCTTCAAAACACGTTAACCCGCGCGGGGCTGGGGTCTCCAGCCGAACGCGCGGGGCTGGGGGGGGGGGTAAATTTTACCCCCCCTGTTATCTCCCGAACTAATGGTCCGATTTGGAAAATTCAAACGCCAATCGAAAGCTCTCATCACGAACTACTAAAAACATGTACTTAATTTAAAGTTTGAGGTCAAGGTCAAGGTCAGGTCAAGGGTACAAATTGCAAGTTTCTACAGTATCGGCCTTGCACCGTAGTTGCCGAAGAATGGAGTCATGGACTGAGACTGATCGCCCAAAACGTGTTTTTAGGCTACCAAGACAATATTAGTTGCATACAATATCATTCAGAGGTCAAGGTCAAGGTCAGGTCAGGTCAGGTCAGGTCACCAAAAAACAAAATATAGAAAAGGGCATGTGCGACACATGTTTTATGGGTCATTTTACTCATAGAATTCAATAGGCACACTCAATAAGTGATATGGACCACCTCTGGATGAATTTCAGGTCGAGGTCAGGTCAAGGTCAGGTCAAGTGAGGTCAAATTTTGAAGTTGGTTGTTAAGGCCTAAAAAGGTGTCTATCTGATGCAGGTTTTCACGGCGAATCGAATGGTGCTATTTTTGTTTCCGTACGAGGTCTAGAACGTCCAAAAAAGTCATTTTTCAAAAATTGTGTGTGTCGTGACGTCATACAATTTTGAATAACTCCCACATTTTTGAACCGATTCTTCTAAAATTTGGTATGTAGGTGCATATAGACCACTTCTCTGACATATATTCCGGTTTTTTCGATAGACTCAAAATTTTGGATTTTATAATGATTTTCCCAAAAAAATCAGTTTTTTGAAAAAATTTAGGCCAAAATCCAAAATTTTCAAAAAACCGAGATAGCCATTTGATAGACAAAGTAAAATTACGTATAACCTTTTTTGTTACGTCTTGATTCCTTTAAAAATGAAGATGTTAGCGGCGTTTGAACTTTTGCCGTTTTTGAGGCGAAAATGGCGAACATGACGTCACTAAAACGTCAATTTCTCAAAAATTTTCCGACGGATTTCGCTCAAATTTTCAGGGAAGGTGTCAAATTGATGTAAGAAAAGGTACTGAAAGTTTGGCGGCGCTGCGCGCCGCCGTTTTTGAGATATCGCAAAAATTCGCGAGGGGGGGTAAAATTTACCCCCCCCAGCCCCGCGCGGGTTAAGTCGCAGTCGCCGAGGCAAATAAAAGTTCGTATATTATGAAAAGGTGTCCCACTGATGAAATATTAGCGATGATGGCTCATCTCAATTTCTAAAATTATTCATTTTGTGGCTTGCAATGTAATCCAATGCTCATGGATCGTTACACTCCACGCCTTTGCCCATACTATAGCGTGCTAACCATGAGCTGTGGCATTCTCTTGGTGCCAATGGTATACACTTAAAGTATCCTGTTCCTAATGCATGAGTTATGTGAATATGATCTGCCGTGAGGAAGTGGTGTTCCGCGCTCGCTGTCTGACCGAGAGCGGTGAATGTGATTCCCATGGCCGGCGGGGGGCGGCTCGTGGCGTGCCAAGGTCTCGCGGGTCGCCGGGGTCGCCGTACCGTCCTCGCCAGTGGCCGGCGGCGACCGGCGCGCTCCTCCGCCCCGACCTTGGAGCACCAGTTCCTTCCTGTCTCCCGCGGTGCCGACGGGCGCTGTTTACCTGTCTGGCCTGTCTACCTGCGGAACTGAGCGCGCGACCAGGCGCCAGTGACGTCAGGGGGCGGCACGCACGTTCCTTCACCCCTGCCGAGGTCGCCCTGACGGCGCCCAGCGGTGCCTGGTCCGCAGAGAGGCAGATGGCCAGCGGCACAGATAAAATCCGCAAACGTAATCCACTTTTCGGCATGATAAAAACGCCCCTGTTGTTGGACAATTGCGATAAGCAGCCTTGGAGTTGGGCCAGCCTCCCCATTGTTGTTATCGCCTGGCCAGCTGGCAGCCGACATCACTCCTATAGTGGAATGATTGCGACCATGAACCAGCACAACGAAAGTCATGATAACGTGATATTGCTGAAAATAAACAAGGTCGGCAAACAATGGCTGATAGCGAACTAGGTCAGTATCGACATCAGGTTTGCAGGTCAGGAAGTTTTTTTTTTAGTTTTTCAGCTTTGCAATTTTGTGGTCTAGTTTTGCAGCTCATAGATGTGCAAGATTAAATCAATGAAATCCTTTTTTTGTCACTTTTTTATTGTGGGTTAGCTACCTTAATTGCATTTAGCTACTGCAAGGAAGGGCATAGCCGGCGGAACGGGGAGGGCGCCGGGGCACCGTGCCCCCCTTTGATTTTGGCATTTTAAAATTAGTCCTATGGACGTTGCATGGAAAGAATGGGACCAAAAGTCGGCAGTGCTCCTCCTTAATTGAAGGTGTTCCGCCGTTACTGGGGAAGGGCGATCAAGAAACTGACACTTAAGCCATTAATAGATTCTTCCGGTACTAAAACGATTTTATTACAAATTAAACTCCAGGTAAACCGACATATTCAAGGAAAACTTGATGTCCAAGGTCAGAGCATATGCTAAGTGGAGCTTGTTGCGGTACCTTCCGCCGGGTCGGGAAATTGGAGCAGAAATTAGCGCCGAACGCCCAAACCAGTAAGGTCAGACAATCTCCGCCCTAATATGGCCTGTAACTTGACCACTGCTGTAAAACGCAGGCTATCACCGATATGAGCTAATAGCGAGCGTCAGTTGCGGCTCGAACCGGGCCCTCACCACTTGCTAGCTCAGCAGTCGCATAACCCTTTTGACTTCTGGGCTGTGATGTACCTCTTCTCGGGATGAGGACTGAATCGCATTCTTCCATACGATATGCAGTAATGCACTGCATATGATTGGATGCATACGAAATGCATTGCATACATTTATCCTTCCTCTCATAAATATTGTGAATGTTTTCTAGCATATCTCTCTCAGCATATTCAATTTCTGTCAAGAGATGACCTGGGATGACCCTGTGGCCCTGACGGTACACTGTAAAAAAAAGTTTAGCATTTGGGGTACTAACGGCTGCTATTCGTAGCACCTTTTAGCGTCAAAAGAACCCTACGACGTATTAACAAAGAAGCATGATGCTAATACTGTGCTAATGATAGCTAACATTCCCATCAAATATTATAAGTTTAGATCACCTATTCTTCTACTGAGCTTAACGTCTACTTCTGCTAGTACCCAGTCCATCAGTGAGTGCTCTTTCAAGCTGGATTTCTAATTAGAACCATTTTAAGTGTTTTAGAAGTTGGTAATGCTGAATATGGTGCTTACGTTAGTATCACAATAGAACCGGACATGCTTACAGAGGAAACAAATTTGAAATTGGCGCCAAAGAAAGTAGCTAAGCCCTGCTTTACAAATCTCTGGGAGTCTTATCACCAGCCCTTTAGCACGTTTTGACGGCGCAGAGCGATATGCGCATGCGCGTGCCAGCTGTTTCCGGCCACGTGTTGCGCCATTTTAGTGGAGTCCGTTGGTCGTGGTGGGAGTGTGTGCACGTGCTCCGGTATATGAAGTGAAATGAAGTGAAGTGAAGTGCTCCGGGCACATGCCACCGAGTGATAGCTCTGGAATGATAGCTTAAATCAGCTATTATCGGTGGAATCCGTCGTGCGTGGCATGGGAGTGCGTGCCCCTGCTCCGGGAGGCAGTGAGGTGGAGGGAAGTGCAGTGCAGCAGTGCAGTGAAGTGAAGTGAAGTGCTCCGGGGCCGGGTGGTACATGAGCATTTGCCACCGACACATGCCACCGACACCGACGTTGATCGACTTTGGTGAGTCTGACACGTTGTATCTTTTGACATTATCTTATATTGTTTAAGTGTTTCATATTCCGACTTTGGCAAATCGCGCTTCTTGGTCTGAAGGAAAGTTGTGTTGTTTGCGAAAATAGCTCCCAACAGAAAAAAAATCTTGGAACTGATCCAATTTTTTTTTGCTCCAGGCATGGGGCCTGGTCAGTTCTTCCGTCGACTACCACTTACAATGGAGGACAACTACGACAACAACACGGGGTCTCCGGTTCCGTCTATCACTAAACGCCGTCTGGTCGTGGATGAGGTCGAACTTATGACCATGAACGGAACGTCGTTTCAACGACCCCCCCCCCCCCGCCTCCCCCAGTCGATCTCGCGTTAATCGTCGGTCACTGCGAGTGTGCAGGTATATGAGCGACCTTTCGTTATTTCCCGTGCGTTTGTTTGTGTATATATTTACATTTGTTTTTCATGCAGATGATATGAAGTGTTAATAAATGTTCCATTATTATTTTTTAATTTTATGATGTGTTGGATGCTTGAAAGATGCACTTACACGGGAATATTGCAGAATGCAAAACACAATCATTGAGACTTGTAGTTATCACTTATCTAGGATATAACCTTTTTTGCACGTCTTTTCGGCCTTACACAATTTCCTTTTTGGTAATTGATTAGTCCTTTTTGCAGTAACTGGTGAAAGTATGTGCTGCTAAAGAAAGCAGTTTTTGCGAACTTTTCATGCAGCAGCTTTAACTAGTATAGATATTCTACTTTCAGCCCCAATGCTTTCGTTAGCATTATTCTACTTGTCGTGGGGTAACAATAGCGCTAAAACGGTTCATATGTGAGTACGGAAGGTACTAACTGCATGCTATTCTTAGCACCTTTTAAAGTTTAGCACCGCTAGGGTACTGAAAATTGGTCTAGCAGGTGTAGGGTACTACATTTAGTACACGGGTGCTAAACAAATATGGGTACTTATATTAGCACCTTGATACTAAACTAGATCTCAGTTAAGTACGAATAATGTGCTTAGCTTAGCACCGCTAGGGTACTGAAAATTAGTCAATTGAAAAGTACCTCTATGGTGCTAAACTTTTTTTACAGTGTAGTGATGCTTCTACCGCCCGCCCCTTCACTGGCCGTGACCCTGACGGGGGGTACGTCCCACCGCTGCCGGACTGGTGCCGTCCGGTCATCCGTCACTGACTCGGCGTCTGCCACTCACTTGGTGTCTGTCCTGGTGTCAGTCTCGCTCTTGGTGCTGCCCCTCACCATCCTGTCACCGTCCGCCCGTCACCATTAACCTGTTGTTGTCCGCCCGTCACCTCTAACCTGGTGCTGTCCGCGTCCCGTTGCAGCCATGAGACAGACGCTCGCCGTCACGGTCGCCGTGTGCGCCGCACTGGCCGCTCTGGCCAGCGCCGACGACAACAAGCCCCAGCTGAGCCTGCCGAAGGCGAACCTCTGCTCCAACCGTGAGTAACCCGCTCATATCATCACCGGAATCTGGCCTGTATGCTAGGTGTTCGGTTTCACTCTCTTACGCCTCAGTGCAGGCTGTGCACATGATGGTGAAACATATTACCATCGTTGTATACGGTTGCCACTCGCCGTCCTGTGAGGTGACGACTTAGTTGGCGAACGTTGTCATGCGTCCACAGGCCAGAAGCACTTCTTCCACCGCGGCCACAGCTACCTGTTCTCGTGGCGTGCCAACGCTCAGCCGGAGACGTGGTTCCATGCTCGCAACTACTGCCGCGACCGCTGCATGGACCTGGTTTCCATGGAGACCGGCGAGGAGAACGAGCTCATGAAGAACATCGTCCAGGAGGGTAAGTGACGTCAGAACAGCTTTGGGCTCACAGCGGCTCCGTGTGCACCATGGACCGCTGCAATTTGTGTGTGCAACGTGCTTGCAACACGAATGATTCTTCAACAGTGCCTTTGTAACTTAAACTTTTACAGTATAGTTGCAGCTGATAAAAATTAAGAAAATATCACCATTCACCCTAGGAGTCCTCCCTGCCACTGTTGTCATTATAATGCTTTCATTGAGCAATGAGCACGGCCTTTTGCTAACTCTTCTGCTCGCCGGTCCGTAGGAACCCGCAACGGTCAGTCCATCTGGACCTCGGGACGTCTCTGCAACTTCAACGACGACTGCAAGCGTCCCGACCTGAACCCGATCCGAATCAACGGCTGGTTCTGGGCCACCCCGCGCGTGCGCATGCTGCCCTCCGACCAGAAGACGCCCTTCTCCGCCAACCGGGCCGTCAACGACTGGAGCTCTGCCGGACGGTGAGCGCCAGGGAGGGGACGGTCTCATGAGGGTGGAAAGGCATTTTCTAGCCATTGACGAGATTTTGCAACTAATGGACTTGATATACCTACCAACGTTTGTTTCATGATGTACCAACGTTTAGTGCTCGTGCAGATTGCAGAACGTTTTTCACGTATTCTCGGCTAATACGTTCAACTTATGGCGTGTCTATTTTGTCTGTTGGAGTGTTTGAGACGTGTGTCTATTGCCGTTTTGTCCATAGGTGCGGCGCCCAGCCCGACCAGTGCGACAACCGCGTGGACGAGGCCTGCATGACCATTGGAAACAACCTCTTCGGAGATGGCATCAAGTGGCACGATGAGGTGAGTTACCTGCAGCCACAAATCCTTTCAACGTCACGTCGGAGCAAGCATCCTTTCCCCATCGTCACAGTAAGACAAGGCCCGCCCATTCCTCCTGACACGTCAGTGCACTGCAAGGGCCGTCTTATATGGGACAAGGGCCGTCTGATACAGGACAAGTCTTTCTGTCCTCTCGTCATATCAGAGCAGGGATCGTTCAACATCTTACGGCTTCATCTGGTGAAAATAGTTCTTTCCTCCCGTGAATTCAAAGCATTTTTTTCCCATAATATTGGGCACGTTTCACCCTTTTTACCGTTATATCGGTCGGGGGCCGCGGGGCCCCATTATCCGTGATTGTCCCCTGCCCCACGTCTCCCCGACCTGCGCCTGTGACCGTTATCACGGCCGGCCCATTTTGATTTGTTGACCGCGACGGCGGCTGTCCCGGCCGACCTCCCACGGACCGCCGGAGCGTCACGTCACGTCACGTTACGCCCCGTGACGCGGCCAGGGTCGTTACTGTTGGCGGAACCGAAGTGCCTGTCTGGCGCGGGGACACGCTGGCTCCTCAGGGTCTCAGGCATCCACAATGTGCCGCTGTAACGCGCTGTTTTATCCTCGATTGTCATGTGTGAGCGATGCGTTGATAAGGAAACTATAGCAAGCATCCCGTCAGCATTTATCTGAGACGGCTTTTTGCGTGCGTTACAGACGTGCCACATGCAGAAGCACTTCATCTGCGAGGATTCCGACGAGCTCATCAACTTCGTGCGCTTCAACAACCGCGGAATCAACCTGTGAGGACCCCACGGGCCGCAGCGGACACTTGATACTCACCCGAAGATGGATAACAGTGCCACACTTCTTCAGTGCTGCTTCGACGCAATAAGCTGCCAAGGCCATTAGTGTGATACTCATGAAATGATGTGGTGAATGTCTTATTTATTTTCGTGAGCCTGCCTGATAGTGACTTCTTGCTTGTGTACTATATTTATCTGACAATAAATCGAACAATGAATTATTTTGTTATCTTTTATACTTGTATATCGCTAAAGCCACGGTGACTATACTAAAGCAAAGCTCGAATATATGAGCTTCTGTTTTCTATTAACGAAGGTGAGGGATGCTATTGCAACCCGCTTGCAATAACTTAGCAGCAGATGCTCCACGGCATAGTGTAACTTGTCTTAAAGGGACTATCCCACCTTTAACATGGGGTTTGAGTTGAGATAGCCAAGTTTGCGGCGAGGTTCAGAAACCACTATCTATCTAGGTTGCAACCCCCGCGGCCTCTTGGTGTTGAAGAAATTCGTTCCCTTCATTTGAAAATGGGCCTTGTACAAGGCCCTATCTTCAACATGGAGCGACCGTTAGTGTGACGTCACCTCGTTTAGTCATTCTGATTTAAATGGGTTTGTTCGTTGAAAAATCGCTTAAAACTTGGTCTGGACATTGTTGTGGTGCCTACAGAGTAAAAAGAATCAGCTTTATGACAGTAATGTGGCCTGGGGAAGGAGGTAATTTTGGGCTGTGACGTCACATATTTGAAAGTTTGTGTTTGGAATATGGGAAGCCTAAGATGTTTAATGAAAAATAAATGCCAGAACCGTGTTCCTGGTCATCCAATCTATAAAGTCGGGCACAATTAAACTGGTTTTAACAACATTTTAGAATGTGGGATAGTCCCTTTAAGTAAGACCGTCTTCGAAGACGTTTTCAGCTCCACGAAGCTTATATCTCGCGAACCATTTAACGATACCGGTAATGTAACGAGTGCACATAAAAGCCGTTTTCACGACGGTCTCTCCGGCGAATGCACCTAATTTGACCAAATCTGCACCTAATCTCTTTTGCAGCAAATATCTTCATGTTATGAATTTATTTCAGTGTTTTAATCGATGATGCTCTCTGATAATACGACAAAGCAGGCATATAAGCAATTAGTGTAACCCTAGCTGATAGCTACTAAGAGACACACTGAACCTGATTTGACCAAATCTGCACCTGATCTGCACCAGATGTGCACCAAATGTGTACCAGATGGCCGTCGTGAAAACGGCAAAAATGTCATCGCATTTCATATATGCAGAGCTCGCCATGATATCTGAATAACGGCCTGACTAATTACGCACAAAGCTATAGTACACCCCGTTATGAACCGGTTAATTGGGTGACTTCCACGAGTCCATTTACGATGTCTTTGCGTGCACACTGCACAGTGTACAGTCCGCTATCTACAGCGCTGCCGTACCCAGTATACTCAACATCTAAATGCGAACAATGCAAATGGTGGAATGAGCAATAGCGATAAGCCCGAGTAAAATTAGATTGAAGGCCAGGGAACCAGTTAGACTTGAATTGTCATTGTTGTGGGAAAAGTACCTATGTCCCGTTGCATTTTTTCCTGGATTGTCTTATACAAGTTCCTACATGCTCAAAGGCTATTCAACAATGCTATTTACTACAGCTATCAATTATGATTGATGAAAAGAAGTAGCACCGCTCTTTGTGAATGGGTAGGTATGTAGGGTAAGGTGCCTAATTAGCGACCCTTTCCGATTTGCGACCTACCACCCTACAGAAAAACTGGCAGGAGAAAACGGGGTAAAAACATCGTCAAAAAGTCAGCCATGCTTTGGTTAGCAAATTAAAGGGACCCTCCCACCTTCAAAAAAGTTAATAAATTGGTATGAAAGTGATGTCGCTCGGTTCAGAAAGAGCAAAAACGAATATTTACCAAATTTCACCGAAAAATATTCACCGGTTTTCAAGATATTAGACTTTTACTTTTGTTTACTTTTTGGGGATCTCCGCTGTTTCTAGCGACTTTATTTTAGAAGTGCGGCGTTTGCGGCAGATGTTGCGCGCAAACAGCATATACCACTGCGTGCTACAAAACGTTTTAGTCAAACATTTAAAAATCGTTAGATATTTGCGCTGACGTCACACATTCAGAGGGGTATTCCTAAGCATTAGCCCCTCTGAATCAAAATGCTGCAATTTTGAAATTCAATATTTCCGATTTAAGGCATTTCTCGATGTTGTGAGTGCCGAAACCGGTAATTGTGAGCCAGGGACCCCATTTTGGCTATCTCAACTCAAATCTAATGTTAAGGTGGGAGGGTCCCTTTAAATTATTTTCCGGTAGTCGATGTTTCTGGTGGGACGCTTCAGGTGAGTTTAAATAAAAATGACGAGTTTCTTATCCAAAACGTGTGTGTTTGGGCCCTCTCTGATGAAAAGCGATGCACATTAGGATGATGCACCTTTTTTATTCTGAATCGACATTCCTTTTTCAATTGATTGCCGTTTTCCTATAGTGAATCGCTCAACTGTGCACAGCATGGCGGTTAAAAATGTGTCGCAACTCATATTTCCTATTTGCGCCTGACATGGTCGCAAATAGCTCAAGAAGGGAAAGAAAGGGAAAAAGAGAGAAATTAAAATGAGATGTTGCTGAAGCTTGCAATGTGTGGCAGGGGATGCCAAATGTCGTCACCGACTGCATGGGTGCCGAATTCAGCGCGGACCTCGAATATCACACGAGATAGCCCGCAAAAATTGGGTTTCCGCCTTCTTTTCGCCTTCAGTGCATCACGTGATCAGTTTTTACTTACGTAAATGTGTTGGATAAACGTGCATGTTCGAGTGGTTGAGTGCTTTGCGTATAGGTTACATTTTTGAGATCATATTTCATCTTTTCAGGCGTCGCATTTTTTGCCATTTTTAATATGGGGAAACCCATAGACTTATTAGCGACCCACCCCGGTCGCTAATCGGGAAGAGTTCCCTATTAGCGTTTTTTGCAATGGTTTGCCAAAATGCACACTACAAATAAGTTAGTGAATATTGGGGCAGAAAATGACTATATTTTAATAGAAAAATGAACGATCTCTCCGAAAATCAAGCCAGTAATACGGTGGCACCCACAGAGTGTGAGCAATGACGGTTCAAATTAAGGGGGTCGCTAATTAGGCACCTTACCCTACATAATATATGTGTGACATGAGTCGATGCCTGCAGCGGGGAGAGCCTTTTAGTGACAAGATGTGGAACATAGTTATGTAGGTATATGAAATATGAACTTCTTATTTGGAGGATAATCGATGACTACGAATCCAAACAATAAAAAGTGGCCTTTGTCTCTCGTACATGTTCGTAATGTAGATGTGAAGCTCAAGGAATGCAGTTTTCCGGCAATGCTGGAATGAAAGGACCCTACAGCACCGTTTAGTTGCTACTTTTTATGTTCAAATTTTCATAGTTTTGCCCTAAGACAAATGTGAAAAAGTATAGGTATTTTTTCATATTTAGTTTAGGTACCTACTTAGGTACCTACGTAATGACTTCACTCGATGTCAGCTACGAAAGCGACAAAAAAAAAATACACAGTTCGAAATATTTTTACGGTAATTATGTATAACGAAAATACGACACTCATTAGAGATTGGCATTTTCTCGTCATCCTTGCACGATTATACCAAATCATGTCTGATTTTTCATATCCAATTGTTTGTCAGTAAATCGTCCACCTGTTTGTCAGGAAGCCAACAAGCGTGAGACAATCAAGCTGAATCAGCGTCTGCGCATTATCAGGCTCGACCAATGCAAAGCAGAATACCTAGCCTCGTGGCCGCGTGCCAGCCGGGCCACTCGGCCTGGCTAATCTATTTTGATTAATCAATGATATTTAACACGTTTAAAGCCCCGAACCTAACAACGTTCGGTTCTGGTCCGACCAAACATCCAAAGACCATAAGCACGGATGCGACCATGTACTGTTTTATTTGTCTTCACTCCCGCGCGCGCAGAACCTCAGCGGCGAACTGAGTCGGTGGACTCGACTCTGCCCTCTCCCTTCCCGGCCTAACTGCGGCAGCGAGCATAGACCGCACGGCGCACAGCCTACGAACAAGGGGCCACGATCAGAACGCGGTGCCGCTGGCACACACACCGAGCAGGGTCCCCATCGCCGGCTGAGAGCAGCCCGCTTCAGCCGGTCTCCGGAACCCGACGGTCTACCTCATCGACTACAGCCGACTGACTCACATGTGCTACAGCTACGGCTTCATCTGGCGACCCGCCGGTCAGCCTCCAGTCCGAAATGGAGCGTCCTCTCCAATCTCGCTGGTTTGGACTAGTTGTCACACTGGTAAATATTCACTCAAAAAACATATTGCTGGTAGTCGTGCCACAGAGTACGACCGTTTCACGGCTATATTAGCCGCTACGACCAAATCGATAGCACGTGGTTGTACCTGCTGCGTCTCGACGCTGCTCTGATGCCCCGACGGTGACATAGGCTGCCGCCTCGACGTCAACTCCGTCGAAGCTGCCTCTGTCGACCCAGCTACACGGTGAACAGCTTGGTGTGAGGCGACATGTACAGGATGCCGAACGTTGCTCCCACTGTTGACGTTATGAACACCCACAACAGAAACCTGAAAAAGACCGGGTGACGTCGGTAAGAAGCAAAAAAGCATACTCGCGGGTCTCATTGGCACAGGATGTCTTTGGCAAAAACGTGCACCTGTACTTGCTTCTAAACGACAGCAATGTAGAAATACTCTAGTGAATGCATCATGGATAACATTAATCTTTAAACGGTGCGAACTTCCCATCATGCTTAGAAGTCTGTTTGTTTTTTGTTTTGTTGGGTTAGGCCCTTTCGGTCGACAAGACCATTGCAGAGCCGGAAGGATGATAGGAATTAGGGGGAGACATTGGTCTGGGCAGGCACCCTAGAGAGTCGCCGGGGCTGAGCCCGTCCAAATGGACAGGCCGACCAGCCCTCCAAGCACTCTCTGCACCCGGCTACGGGGTGCAGCTCCCTCGGGAGCAGCGGTGCCGCTCCAAGGGAGCAGCCCGCATGAGATAAAGTTGCCTGTCCAGCCCGGAAGGGGGTTGCGGCGTGGAGGAGAAGGATTTCTGTATCCTGAGGATAGAAGCACGGATAGGTGCTTAGAAGTCTTCGTGTTCCTGTACCTATACATTACTAAATTCAATCACCTGTCCAGAACGAGTGCCATTTGTTGCCACTCGAGCTTGATGGCGTCCCTGCGGTCCTGCTCGGCCAGCCGCTGGTCGTTCCGCTCGATTGTGTGGTAAACTTTGTTGAGCACACGCATAAACTGGTGCTCGAACAGGTCGAGCGACGGGTGCACCGTGGGCGGCGCCCCCAGCGGAGGTGGCGCCGCCCCCAGCCGAGGCGGCGTCTCCGTCAAACTCGGGTTCCGACTCCCTCCGCTGAGGGAGAAAACGGGCGGTGAAGCTTCAGAGAGACACGAGGGGGGCAGGGAGGAGTGTGAAGTACCTATAGAAAAGTTGATTTACGTAAGCTATATATGCTGTTTCATACATATTCTTTCAGGTAGATAGACAACAGAGCATTCGAATCTCGAGACACACCAAAAAACAGCTGAGATGCATTATGGAGGTGAGCTTCATCGGCAGAGCGTTCTGTACCTTGTATTCGTCAGTTTCTGTCCACATGCTATTCCCCATTCAAGAAATATGAAACAAGCCTCCAGCCAGTCCCACACACCAAGCTCTTACCAGTGTCCCCCGTTATAAATGTGAAGCTGGTGATCATACGCCAGTTCAGGGTCCACAGGGGTCGACTCGATGTGACATTCATCAAAGCAGAACCGGTAATCGTCCTGTAAGAAATATTGCACGTCAGTCACTGGTACCCAATCAGAACATTATCAACTCTGGCTGCTTAGATGACATTAATTGTCACGGGTCAGTCTGTGTGTCTGGCTATGAGACTCTTACCTTGGTGCGCGCCAGACAGTGGCTGGGAGGGTCCAGGCGGATGCAGAGCACGGGCGCTAAGCCCTCGAACACGATGCGTTTGACGACTCGGGGCACCTCTCGTCCGCGCATGCCGCGGTGGTGAATGTTGAGCGTCACCACCGACAGGCCGGTGGCGAACGACACCAGCGAGATGGTGACGCCGTAGTAGAGACCTGTGGTGAATGGTGGAGGCGTCGGGTTACGGACGGAGTTAGAGACGTAACCACACAGACCAAGTTAGATATGTTAATCGGGCGAACCGACGCTGATACAAGATCGATGCAGTGTTTAGATTTAAAGCAAAGCATGAGCTAATGAGCTATGCTAATGGTGAGAGAATATTACTCTCCGTTACGCATTTGCCGTGCAATCCTTTAAAAGTGCAGTCTGCTCCTTACCAGCGAGGTCGCTCGTTGCAGTGTTCCTGCCAGTTCACTGTTTCGATTCGTCGGTGTGGCTACGCCTCTCTCCCCCCTCCACTGGTCCGTCTCAGCTACTCAGTCAGTCTAGACAGGAAGTATGCAACTGGAACGTCTATCAACTGAATGGTTCGCTCCGGTCCCATCTGCCAGTCTGTGTCGTGGATATTTGGATAGCTATTGACCCCTCTGCTGTGTCCCGTCCACCTGTCTGTTGTTGGCGGTAAGGGGCTGCAGCGCCTCCACTCGTCACTCCGTCTGTCTGTGTAGTCGTCTAGGGCACAGCAGCCCCTTCACTGTTCCGTCTCAGCCCTGTCCACCAGTGTCGGCAGTAAGGGGCTGCCGCGCCTCTCGGCCGATCGGCCGTATGGCCTGGCGTCCGGCTAAATGACCCCCGGATCACGGCGGCCGTCTCTAATGGTCAGGAAATGGTGTGCCGCCGGCCGAGGGTCGTCACCGGAGCGTCCGCCGGCGCCTGGCCTCCTGAGCCCGCCCACTGACCGGGCACTGACCAGGGGCTGATCATTGGAGACTCGAGACCACTGCTTGGAAGACTAAAGCTAGGGTCACCCCGCCCTCTGGCCGCTAAGGACAAGGGACCAACTATCAGGGACCGACCATCAAGAGCCATGCTGATCGGGGCCGACCCCGCCCAAGGTCTCATCCACTTACCAATCAGGGGCAGTTTCTCGGAGGTGGGCGGCATGCTCTCCCCAATGACCATGAGGAAGACGGTCATAGAGAGGAGCGTGGTGATGCCGAGCGTCACCTTCTCGCCGCTGTCCGACGGCATGTAGAACGACATGAGCGCGATCCCAGTGATCAGCACGCACGGCAGGATCAGATTAAACACTGCCGGAGCAGGGGAGAGCGACATTTACTCAATATCACAGTAAGATATCATTGAAACGATTGTAAGTTTGATGCGAGGCGGAAACATGTTTTTTTTTTAAATTAGCTGCTTTTAGGATTGACGTGGTCCTTTCCATTTAATTAGTTTGCAGGCATACCACGGTTTATTGCACCTGAACATTTCTATTCTGACTATGAAATATCTGATTTTTTTTTTTCGAACGGGGTGTAGATAAGCACATGGTAGTTATAAAAGGCGCACCAAATTCTTAATCTTGCTGCTCAGTATTCGTACACATTTTTTCCATCAGGGCCAGTCAATAAAACAATGTTTATCGACAAAGACAATAGAACAAAGGAGCTGGTCGGATCATCACACTCGTTCAGTCGCTCAACCAAAGATGAGAGTCCCTGAGCCCATCGAATTGACGTACCATCATCGTGTGTGAAATCATTCGGAACGATAGCCACCATGCGTCTTCCTTACGGGGCCCTCCTTTTAGCGGGGTAATCAATGGAGACGAGCTGGGCATCTGGCTCCATCAGCGCCACTCGGCTGGGGACGGGCCAGTCCGCCCGGCTGGGGACGGGTCAGTGCACTCGGCTGGGGGCGTGTGCCTCTCGTACGGGCTTCTGGCAGAAATGGCTAAAAAAATCCTTGGCCGGCACGCATTGTGTATAAAAAGTCAAATTTAAAACGACTGTTTTGACATGTATCAAACCATTAGCTATAAATTCTGATCGCCCAACACTCCTCGTCGGCGCGAAAGCTTCATGGTTTGATGAACACAACACTATTGTGCCCTCCCCGCTATTGGCTCGCAATCAGTGCTGGCAGCTTTCACACAACCCCTCCCTCGGGCCGCAGGCGTCTGTATTTTCTGTACGGCGCTGACTGTGCAGGAAGTCACACATAAGTGATCCGGTGATTGATTTGGCGTCCAGCTGTTGTTCTCGGCAGAGCGTACCGAGCAGAGGGTGCAGTGGGCTGGGTCGGTGGGCGCTGCGCAGAGCCGCCGGCCCACTGACCGCCGACCCACAATGGTTCCGCTGACCGGCCCCGCGCCCCGCGCCGGGCAGCCGATATATGGGGGCCAATAAAACCGGCAGCTGCCCGAAATACACGCAATAATGCATGCGTTCCGAGCATCTCGAGGCGCAATCGTACTCAGCCTGAATCGTTAAGGAGACCATTCAAGAGGATTATTCCTCACGTCACTAAAACTTGCAAGTAGCGAGCCAATTTAAATAGAAATGACAACCATGGGATTGATCTTCTACGAGTATATAATTCCATCCATGACACTGACTATATGCTCGTATGTAGTCTCCGTCGTTTATGGCAGTTCCCATCGCCGCGAACGGATCTGAGGCCTCCACTGTTCAGAAAGGCAATCAACTGCGCTGCCTGCCGTATTGCGGTTTATGGGGGAGCACTCAACAACAAACAACGCTTGGTCGCTATAGGGGTTGTAAATTCTGTTTCGCGCGTAGCAACCAGCCTGAGGAAATTACGCTGCATCTCTTGATCGAGCTCGAGATAACGCTGCTGAATACAAGCTACTTAGTTAATTTGTGTTGCAGTAGACATTATGCTTTCCAAGTGTAATTCAGGCGAAAGATTTGTCAATGTTTGTGACGCATGTGTGTCCTGAGCCCCGACGAAAGCTGTCCCGACCAAGTAGTTCGTTTCATCGAAATACTAAATTTTAACTTCAATAGATTACCACAAGTAACATCATACTGGCTGCTGCCGTTTATAAGGTGTGTGCGTGCTGTGTGCGTGTGCTGCTGACCTGAGGAAGGCTCAGTACCGGGACCCACCGTAGAAGAGCGGTCTGCGCAGCAGTACGATCCGGTAGGTGATGTCCGGGTAAGGCGCCTCGCAGCACGAGTAGTACACTACGTTCCTCTCCACGGTGAGGTTCAGCAGGTCCCACTCGCCATTCGTGACGTAGTTACTCAGGTCACCCTGCTCGGTTTGGTTCAGCAAATTTACCTGGTGCAATGGGTAACAGATGAAGAGGGAAGAAAGAAAAAGAGAGGGAGAGAGGAACACACCTTTGAAGAACGGTGATGATATCTGGTACACTTAAAAGATAAAACATAAAAAACAGCCAAGTTATTCCTACCTGTTCCACCAAGTCCAACAACAGCTTGTTCCAGATACCTATTCAAATACCGAATTCCTTTACGAACAATTGTTGCACATACGGAACCGCCAAGTCCCACAAGCATTGCCTTGTCCCACAGAACTATCTCCTACCAGTTTTTACGGACGTATATACTGTCTCGTTCCACAAAAGTCAGAGCCATTTCGTCCCGCGGCCACCGTCCCACCTGCAGGCCGTCGTACGTCCAGCTGGCGAACTTCATGGTGCACGTCTGCTCGTCGAACGGGAAGAACTCCACGTTGATGGAGCAGGACGACTTGAAGATGGCGCTGCTCAGCCAGGTGACGTTGCCGTCCGCCTTCACGATGATATTGGTGCTCAGAATGGCGTTCGAGTACGCGCTGTCGGCACTGTCGCAAGAGCGCAGCGTTAACCTCGCGATCGGAGGCGCGATGTGTCATGTACTATAGTGACGGTCTTGCGCTGAAAAGGACGTTTTTATATTTCAAAGTGTCCTATTTTTTCGTAACCATGGGTTATCGAAAAACTGTATGGACAATTTTGGGCGGTGTGTTTATATAGTGCCATAGCTCCGATTAATTCATTGAGTTGACATTTTTATGATTTACTTTGCTCCAAAAGTGCCACGTTTGCTTATGGTTTCGTCGTAACGTTATCAGTGAGGCCGTCTTATCAACGTCTTGGTCGCGCTTTTAAAATCACCATCGTAGTGGAAACATCTGGACAGTGAAGACGAATGAATCCAATGGCTTTGGGTGATCGAACTTGAGAGGACAATTATTTCTTCTATAACGTCTACGTTTTAAGTTTCAGTTGAATGTTTCGCGGGAGACCACTTTTAAAAGCCTTGTTGCTCGTTTCCCACAAGGATCCGTTTCATCCGGGCTTACGTCCGAGTGACGGATGGCGCAAGCTCGACAGTTTTCTGCGGCGACAGTACAAACTGTTCGGCTAAAACGCAGTTCAGCCTCGGTTGTGGTGAGGACCAGTTTTGAACACACACTAGTCGGCTGAAGCAGCTCTAATGGAAGAGGAGAGCAAACACTTGTTTCTCGATAAATCGGCCCTTTAGTGTTTTGTGTACGTACTATCACTTCAAGACGTGTAACACTTCACTTTGTTTTACGGATCGGCAAAACAATCAGTTGTAAAAGTAGTGAAAGTATTTGTATTGACCTCTTAGTAAACAGTTTCCCTTCGTGTGCCTCGCGGTACCTATGTGATGCTCTGTAGCGGGAGAAGCGCATGCCCTAGTGATAACTCAGAGCAGCCTTACTTGTTGTAGAGCAGGATGTCGGGCTTCCAGAGCCGGTCGTGCGGCAGCCGGATGACGGGAATGCCGCCGAACTCGGAGCGGTTCCACGTCAGGCTGTAATCGATCCACTCCTGTGGTGGGCAATAGTCAGCATGTTATGGTTTAACGATGACTGGTGCGCCCTGTCACACTAAAATCAATGTATAGGTACATCAATATATCATCAATATATCAATATTTCAATATCAATGACATTGTTTCAGGGTACGTCAGTCATCGAAAAAAAAATGTAAATAAACTTCGCTGCAATCTTTGGTATTAAGCCCCATGGCTTCGTCCATGCGCCTTCTATGCTTTCCTTTTTGTTAGAAATGCTATCTATTTCCCCCTTATAATTACTTTGGTCGAGACATATTATCTAATAAGAGACCTCATAACCAATGGCCAGCCGACCATAACGTTTCATGAGTTGTAATGACGGGCCAAGCTTAGCGTCTGCACAGTCTCGGGAAAACTTTGAGGCGTTTGCAGCCCGGCCGCCCTCGTTATGGGAGCGACTATGCAGTCCCGTACCATTCCGAGCAGAAAGACCCTCAGAAAGTTTAGTATCTCAGAGAAATAACTAGGTAGGCACCACTGCATGGAGTCACCGATATTTTGTTCTCGGTAAACGTTGATTTCATTTTCTTCTACTCCTTATAAGCAGGTAGAACAAATTAAGTCGTATTTGTCAACCACGTAAACTATAAAGTACACCACCTGAAACAGGGCCTAAGTGCGATCAATCAATTCATGCAATGTACGCTATCCACTGTGTAGTATGGGTGAACCTGAAGCACTGGGCCCACCAGACGGTTTCATTTGTCTGGAGCAGAAAACCTCAGAGTCGGTGGCGCGCTACTCTATTGCAATTCGATGGCAAAAACGGCGCCCTGTCGCTCTCAGTGAGTGCTCCCACCGCTCCATTGAGCACGGCACCATAACCCGCACCACGTCACTTCAGAAAGGGTTTAGCTGACTGAAGTGTCACATAAACCACGTTACAAGAAGTAAGCAGTCAAAACGTAATTCAAACCGTGAGAGCATTTGCAGTTCGTCATTTATAGAACCAGGGGCCGTATTCACGTCGATTATTTTCGTAAGAATTTTCTTACGCACGACCTACTTCTTACGAAAATTTGGTATTCACGTCGACAGCAAAAATATCTTACGAATAAAAAAACTGTCGTAGACAGTTTGCGATTCACGTCGACCTTTTCTTAAGAATTCTCGTAAGAATGTCGTAAGTGCGATTCACGTCGTGTCATCTTAAGAATTTCTTAAGTTTTTCGTAAGAACATAATGTTAACGGTATGGTGGACTTAAGAATACTCACCGAGCTGTCGTAAACTGACGCAACGATAAATCAGTGCAGTAGGCTAAGACTAAAATGATGAATTATTTTAAGAATTGACACTAACGGTTGTCTGGACTAAGAATGGCTGTTATTATTGAGCAAAACTATTACCAGCGAGCGAGTGAAGCGAAGTCTTTTCAATAAAACGGGAAAATATCAGTATGAGCGGCCCGGCCCGGCCTGTAATGCTTTTGGAAGCCTATATCTCATCAACCGCTGGACTGATTGACCTGTGGTCTTCTTGTTGGGCTGCCCCATCCCTTCTAACCCGCAATTTACTATCTTGATGCATCTAATTGACCATCGTGGCACGTGCCACGTGAGAAGTCAAGGGCGTCCAAGCTGTTTTGCAGAAGTAGCGCTTTTGAGACTACCAAAATCTCAAAGTGGGCTTATATCTCAGCAACCACTGCATTAGGACGTTTGACTTGCGGTAATTTTTTTTAGGGTAGCTGTAGCCCTTCTACTAAACATCGGGTACACTTGATTCATGTGAGTGACCACCCGCTGCACGTGCAAAGTACAAACAGGTGTCACGTTTGTTCTTATTACAATAACTCGGCAATTACCGGCCCGATTGTGTTGAAACTTGGCATGTGGGTAGGCACCTACAGGGAAATGCTTGTCATATGTCACGGTTGAGGTGCTACTGCACGTGCGCACGAGCAGGGGTCGCTTCCAGATGTCGAGAACGCCTGGACCGTTTGCACTCAAACTTGGCACACGGTTATAGGGACCGGTGCGAAGGGTGCCGGGCAAAATCCAGTTTGAACGATTTTACACGTGCGCACGTGCAGGGTGCCGCTTCTACATCTCAAGAACAGCTGGGATGATTGCGCTCAAGTTTGGTCAGCGGCCAAGCCGATCAGCGGCTGGGGGGTGTTACGGACCCCCCCCCCCCCCAGTGGTATAACTTTCTATATGAATGGGGGTGCAGGTGCTTCCCCATCCACTAAAAGTGCATGTCCATCAATGTCAAGAAATAAGGCACCTCATGCAGAAGTTGGGATTGCCCAGTAGAAGAGGGGCGCTCCCAACACTTTAACCCTATTAGTGGCAGGCTCCTGGCTATCCCTATTACACTGAGAAAACAGTGTCCCGATTTTCGGGCTCAGAGACCAGTTTTCGGGCTAATGTACCATATTCAAAACAGACAGCACATTTCGAGAATACTTTCTGAGCTAGCGCCACATGGGCTCATACGATCCCTTAAATCGGTATCATTGATCGCAGAAACAGAGCTCAGTCAGTACCCATTATCGGTGTCAAGCTCTAAAACTAGTCTCACTATGATACCAGTTTTCAGCCTGATCCCCATTTTCGAGCTCACCTGATTCCAGTTTGAGGGCTCAAATTGTGTGGTGAAGCCAATATTAGGGCTCACGTCATCGCTTTTCGGGGCTTTGGTAAAAGCTGGATCAGGATTGCGTCAGCTGGCTGGCCAGCTGGCGACGCACGAAAGGTATTTAATTTTAGATATACCTAAGCGCGGTAGTAGGATGGACATAAATATTTCAAATGGCTTTAAATGAAAAATTGATTGGTAAATATTCATTCTTTTATATCTAGCATTGATATGTAAGAAGCTCTGCTAGCGCCACCATACGGCGCCAGCTGGCAAAAAATCCAGTTAATACCAGAGCCCGCTTTTCGTCCGATGCAGCCCCTCCTCCCCCCTCCCCCGTGTCCAGCAGCTGCGAATAAGACGAAGCCGCGGACAAACTTTTTTTTTTGCTCGGCCAGCCTAGCGCCAGTCTCGAGCGGTGGGACAGTTAACCGGCAATTTTGGCCGGGATGCAAAAGTTACGTTAAACCGGTTTATGTTAACCCGGGAGCAAATAACAACGTGGGAGCCTATCTTAGGTGTGGCAAAGCTAACGGATTACTTACTTGTTGCCGAGGTGCCCAAAGAAGGTACTGGAACCGAAAACACAACATTGGTTCATGTATTTATTAACATTCATACACACAGTCATACTTGTGCAAGGTGTCAGTGTTCGGTTGTGGGGTGTAATAGCCAGGGAAAAAGTTCTATGAACTGAAAAACCCGGCGCCTATTACTTCGCAACATGGTTGTGTATTCATGAACTGCAAGGAGTGCAGACGACATTGCCTGTGCTAACTTAACGTCTCACGGGCAGCGCCGCGCTCTGACACCTTGGTCCCAGAAGCGGCGGCGTTTCTGACCGCAAATCGCCGGAGAGCCGGTCGACGCCGTTGAGGGGACTGAGCAGGCCGCTGCCAGCTCCACCTTCACGTCCGCGCGGCGCAGCTCGGTGTGCGGCGGCGGCTCATCGCGCGGGCCGCACCCGTCCGTCCGCTGCACGAGCCGCTTTTCGATCCGACAGCGCAACACCGGCACGCCATTGTGCTGGCTGAGCGGCGGCAGCGGCACGTAGGCAACAAAACAGTAGAAATCGATGGGCCTGGATCGGCGTTGCCAGCAACGCCGGCAGCGGCGCGGCGGGAGGCGCCAGTGCCGCCGTCGGGGACGTGTGCCCTTCGCTGCGCTCATTCGAGTTGGCCGGCCGGCCGCGCGGCGTAGTCCTTTTGACACGGTGCGAGAAGAGCCGGATGAAGGTGGACTTTTTATTGGCGTTGCTGGTGCTCACGCCGCCGGCGTCCAGTTTGGGCGGCAAGTCCGAGTACCAGGAGTCGGACAAGTCCCGCGCGAACGCCGCCAGCCGGTCGTCGTCACTGCTGGCGGCGGCCCGCCGACGGCGCTGCCTCAGAATCGGACGAGTCGGTGGTACTGAGCACCTCGCGGGACGGGTAGCTGGGAGTGGGCCGGCCGCGGCCCCTGCCAGGCCGCGCCACCTTCACCGGCGCAGCCGCCTTCAAACTGCCCTTGCTGGGCGGCGGGTTGGTCGGCGGAGGCGGCAGCGGTGCCTCGACGTCAGTCCGAGTCGCTGTCACTGGGCGGCCGCCGCGGAGACGGCTTCTGTTTGACCCGCAGCCGGCCTGGGCCGGCTCGGCGCCCTCGGCCGGCGGCGCGCGCCGTTTCGAGCGTTTCACCTTTTCACTGTTACTCTCGCCTGGTCCTCAGCGTCGAGCGGCTCGGCGCTGTTCGGTTTCATGTGGCCCATGCTGCTGGGAAACTCGGGTGGGGACAGCTTTCTGACTGGAGTGCCGTCGAAGATGGAGGAGACGGGGGTGCTCGCAGAGTCCTTGCCCAATGCCCATGATAGAGCCGAGGCTCCACTGGACGCCCAGCTTAATCGGGCTATCGCCGCCCTCCTTCTATGGTGGATTCTTCGGCCCCCTACAGCCACTAGGGCCATCATATACTCCCAGATGGCGGCACCTAGGGGATGAGGGGGGGGGGGTGTCTGGGCCACTTGTCCACCTCGTGGCGTCGCCAGCGACGCCTGCGAGTCGGAGCAAATGATTATGGGGTCTTCCTCGAAGGACGGGTGCTTCAGGAGATGTTGCTTTGCCGTTTTGGGCGCCACCATCTCAGATCGGTAAATGGAGCAAATCCTCCCCGCCGCCTCCCGCAGTACCAATGTTGTACTGTCTGGGTGCTCGGTGAGGACCCCAGCGCCGCCTTCCTATTACTCCCCCGGTCGCAGACCCGTCGACCCAGGCCCACGTCGCACGCTGGGGGAGCGCTCCCAGTCACGCCTCCGCAGCACTCCTCCTCGCTGTCGCGGACGCCCCGATCGGCAGCAGGTCCAGGTGGACCGTGACGCCGTCTGTTGGCGTCTACGGGGGCAGTCTCGTGGATAAGCGCGC